TGAAAGTTAAGAATTGGCACTTTCTAAGAGGAGCTAAGTCTAAAAAGGTTGAGAACCACTGGTTTAGTGTCAAACTGGACCACTTAAAAATCTTGTTAATAATCTTGTTTGGCATTAATTTAGATACTATAGTAAGTGAGATCAGAAAGACAAACAGAAGGACAAATGGTGTGTACATGTGTGTGGGAGTGTGACATACCTTCAGACAGGCTGTCAAGAGTGATTTTCACCATTTTCCTATAAAGTACATGTGCATAACTGCTAAATTATATTAGCACAAGAGATTCAGGAACCAAAGTTCATTGGCTTTCACTGGAAGTTTGATCCTTAGATCCCTCAAGCTCTTTTAAACATTTCCGTTTTAGACCGAATCATGCCATTTACAGGTATTACATTAAGTGAATGTGTGCATGCGTGCACATGAAAGATAACTCTGTGATTTATGGTCCTCATTTCTAGTATGTCTAGTCAGTTATTCTTGAGAAAAAGCCCCATGGTTCATTTTTATTTATTTATTTTTTTACAGTCAGTGCAATTACTGATGATGATGATTATGCTCATAGAAATATTAGCCATATGCAAAAAAAAGTTTACAGGGTAGAACCCTAAATATCTCTTACATTCATGTTGCTGCTGCTGGATATATGATGACTGTTAAATGTAATTAGGATTTTTAGGTGTGTGGGGCGGTATTTAAATATGGTTGAAATTATGACTCAGCTGCTGTTGCACTTACTGTAACAATACATCTGTATTTTTGTTCCTTTTAATATATTTGCTTGCATATTTAAATTAATGCTAGATGAGTTTAATTTCAAATCAAGTTCCTAAAATACTCTGGCATCAAGGGAGATTAGCAGAGTATGTGTAGAGATGGATAAAATTAACCTCATTTATCAATTGTTGTCAAAATATTTCTCTGTTCTGCTGTACAGTCTGAATAGCAAAAAAGAGCCTGATCCATTTATGAAACACTGGTAGATTTTATGATGTGATTACTGGTAACAGCAAGAGACTGCTTGATGACCCATGTAGACCCTTCTATGCCTGTGTCTCAGGGGAGGGGGGGAATAAAAATTGTGTTTTTACCTTTTCATCAGATAAATAAAAATATTGAAACTGGCATAATATTATGAGAAGGAGGTGGTGAAGGAAGAAGAAAATACAGATGTGGGGTTTGGAGTAAATGACCCTTAACCGTCTTTGCAACCCATGATTTTCTTATGATTCTGATTATTATTTTATCCCCCTGCCTTTCACTGTCTCAGAGAGAATGCCATTGTTAATGTAGGTCTAACTTAGGTCAAGGCATCAGTGAATCTAGAATATTATCACCTTTCTTGATCCAGAGGTGCCTAAAGTCTTCCAGTAGAACCAATTTCCAATGTGCAGGATATTGCAGATACTGCCATGATGAGATCCCAACAAACCACAAACATTTCAAGCTATACTTTTCTTCTTCCTGCCCCACATTTCTAGTTTTAACCTGTGAATTAATTTCATCCTCATCCCAGGTATATTGTTTCCATTTCTCCATACAAACCAGACCCCTTTAATCTTTAAAAAAGTCTTTCCTTTTGTCTCAGCATTGCAGACACTGGAAAAAGGGATACAACAAAGGTGGCAAGGAGCTGCCACTGCTATTATTTCTAAAGCACCCAGCTAAGGCTGAGGTTCCTTTTTTCTAGGTGCTGTACATAGGTAAGAAAGACTTACTCAAAGAGCATATAGTGGTGGTGATGATACCAACACTGAAAAGTAATCTCTAATATGTGCTTGATTCTGCCAGTATCAATCCAACAAAATATTTATCCTGGGGATTAAATGCACCCATGCATGCACTCAAACACACTCTTAGAACCAGACTCTAATTGCTCATCTAGGCACCTAAATGGGACACAGATGACATTTAGGCACCTAAGCTGCAAAAAAAAACCCACCTGAGCCACAAAACCCTTTGGGTGCCTAAACCCTGGATTGCAGACGCTCTAGACCCCTAAACAGAATCACCTCAGTCTGAGCAGCGAGATATCTTCATTCTGTCTACACTTTAGTGTGATTCAGATACAGGCACTTGAGGGCCTTCATCCACCAGGCATGCTCTGAGCATGTGTAGCACATGCATGTAATGTGCAGGTTTTACACCTGCTCCAAGTGTGCATGGTAAATCAGAGGGATCCATCTGGGGATGATCCCCACATCTTACAGAATAGTCTATTGGTTAGACTTACTTAGGGAGTGGGAGATTGGGATTTTAGACCCATCTCAGCCACTGCCATACCATACAGTAGTCAAGTGCAGTAATCTCTACTGCTTCTGCTAGAGTTGTGCAGAAAGCAGTGCATGATACCTGGTACCAGAAGGAGAGCAAATGGAAAGGAGCCTGACTATAGTCTTGTGTAGAGACATTTAGCCCGAAGGCAAGCACCTTAAACTGTGATCCCTATTTCAGGATTTTGTGTCTAATGTAAAATAACTAAACAACCCTGGGAGTCAGGACAGACACCAGGTTGTCTCACTGTGTGTAGGAGAATGGCCTAACCTTTAGGCAACAGATTTAGGCTCCCTTCTGCTTTCTGTCCCTCTTTTTATAGGCTGGTGGTTCAGGCACTCTCCTGGGAGATGGAAAAAATGAGTTTGAATCCCCTCAGGCTGAGGGGATTCTCCTCAGGCTGAGGGCTGAACCCAAGTCTCTAACTTCCTGACCAAGTGCTGTAACCTATAGGCTTTTATGTAAAAGGTGGGCACTGACACCATCCCAACAACAATGATGTTGGTTAGGCATCTGTTCTCAGAAGTGGATGAAGTGCTTTGAATCCTAAAGGTGCTTATGTACAGCCAAGAGCCTGACTCTGGAGAAAGATGGGTATTGGGTAATCCCTGTGCATGCCCTTTCATGTTGACTAGTTCCAGTATCAGTTTTCTGAATCACTCTTTGGAGATCCCATTGACAGTACAGACTGTACAGACTAACACCGTTTATTTGAGCAGAGACATAATTAGCTTGTGCTAGTGTTAAGTCAGGTAGAAGGCAGGGAAGAGCTGCACCTCATAGACTAAATTGGAGATGTGTAATCTTTTTGTGAGCCCATAGCTTACTTCATCAGCTGCTAACCCAATAACATAGTAAAATAAGGAAAAGTTATCAGCAAAGACAAAGGCCTATAGAAATCAAAGCCAAGTGCCAATGCAGCTTTTAAAAATGCCCAACTTCAACCTATAGCACTACCTGACTCTTGTGGAGTGGTGTGTGTGTTTAAATCAGTAGAGGTCAAAGGTATTTTCAAGGCAGGTCAGCACCACTGTTTCCATTTCATACACAGAAAAACTCACTTCTCTAACCCAAAGCCAAAGGGTAGTGCAAGAAATAGAACCACCAGTACCCGAGTTTCAAGCCAGCATATTCCATACTAGACTACACATTAGCCTGTAAGGATATAACCCCTTGCACTGAAGATCAATTTATGAGCTAGCCAAATTATTAATTATGAGTCAAGCTGGGAATGATAAGAGCCAGGGTGCAGTTGGCCCTTACACCCTTTAAGACCCAGCCCGATGTTCATGTGTCATTTACACTCCAGGAACTTCAAAGCCAATGTGACTAAAGGAAGGACAAAGCTGAGATTAACATATTGCTGAGCAATTCTTAGACCTGTTTGGTCAGCAACTACCATTGGAGTTTTCAAAGGCACAAAGGACACTGACATTCCCAAAGCCCCTTTGGAAATCAATGAGATTTGGGCACCTACTTCCTATCTGTGCCTTCAACAAACTGTACCAGAGAATATAAAAACTGAAAGGGGGTACCTAGACAAGATGCACTCTGTAGCTGCCTAATTAGCTCCACAATAAAGCATCTTCACCTACACGTGTGGAGCTATTGGGCCAGAGTAAACTAAGTAACTCTGTGGCAAGTTAGTACTGTCCATAGGCAGCGGCAGGCCAGGACTAATGGGGCTTAGCTCCCCACAAGTGGGGGGCAGCAGGTAGGGCCTCAGGACAGCCCAGGCACAGGCTCCAAGAAGCAGCAGCAGTGGGGGGAGGGGTGCACACAGACACAGACACACTGCCAGAGCCTGCAGCAGCCTGGGTCATGTAGAGCACTGCCCAGCACATCAGGTAAGTCTGTCATGGGAAAATGGCACCGGGGGGGGAGCACAGATTGAGACCCCCACGGTGAGGGATGGAGTGGGGCAAGGGCAGGGGCAGGAGAAGGGCCTGGGATGAATGGGGCCCCCAGGCCAGGGTGGGTTCCCACCACTGTGCACACTCTGGGGGAGCTCCAAGATGGACATGCCCTCTGGATCTGTGCACATGGTGGAGCTGGCTGCCACTGCAGGCTGGAGCCTGTGCCCTGAAGCCACTGCCCCAGAGCAGTGCAATGCCATGCACCTGCTGCACACAGAGCACAGACTCTAGCCTACAGCCACCTCCACCCCATGCACAAATTCATGGAGCATATGCCCCCCAGGCCTCCCTTCGGGTGTGCACAGCAGTGTTATTCCCCCCCTGCCCCTGGATAAGCCACCCAGGCTCTGACCCTCACACAACCTGCCCTGATGCCCCATTTACCCCTTGGACTCCCTGCTAGTTGGGGCTGCACTGCCCCAACTCAACGTGCTTCAGTGCCAGACGTGTAAATATTGCAACTGAGAGCAATAAACTCCAGAGAAAATGGCTCCAGAGTTTACTGCATGACACTGATTTCACATGTAGATGTGCCCACTGTGAAGCATCATAATAAACCAGGCATCTGTGTCTGCAGAATGATGTATTTATTCTGAACCAACTAACTTTATTTTTCCTTTTGTTTTCTAATTTTCCTTCTTTTTGTTGTTTCTCCTTTCCCTCTTGCTTCCTCTTTTTTCTATCTCTATAATTCTTCTTCTATTGACCATTTCTTTCTACTACTTTCTTTTTTAGTTGGCTTTGCTTTTTTACAATTCTTTCACATTTTCCTCTTCTTCTCCACTTTCCCTCCGATACTCTGGTCTGTCACCATGGAATGGGAGAACAGCACCAGATTCCAAGAGTTCATTCTCCTGGGATTCCCGACCATTGTAGAGATACAGGTGCTGCTCTTTGTGATATTCCTGCGGCCTACATTCTGACTCTTCTGGAGAACTTGGTCATCATTGCCCTGATCAAAACAAACCATCACCTCTGCAAGCCTATGTACTTCTTCCTCAGCAACCTTTCCTTTCTAGAGGCCTGGTATGTCTCAGTCACAATCCCCAAATTACTGGTGAATTTCTTGTCTGAAAGGAAGAGCATTTCTTTTGTAGGATGCATGACCCAGCTCTATTTCTCCAGCTCCCTCATATGCACAGAGTGCATGTTCCTAGCTGTCATGGCTTATGATCGCTATGTGGCTATCTGCAACCCATTGCGCTACCCAGCCATCATGAGCCGCCACCTTTGTGTGCAGCTAGCATTATGCTCTTGGCTAACTGGTTTCCTGGCTTCCATGCTGAAAGTTTTCTTCATCTCCTGGCTGTCATTCTGTGGTCCCGATATCATCAACCATTTCTTTTGTGACATCAGCCCCTTACTGAATATGTCATGTGCTGACATGACCACAGCAGAAATAGTGGACTTCATCCTGGCCTTGATCATCCTACTGGTCCCACTCTCCATCACCATCATCTCCTACGTCTGCATCATTGGCACCATCCTGTGCATCCCCACAGCCCAGGGAAGGAAGAAAGCCTTCTCCACCTGTACTTCCCATCTCACTGTGGTCGTCATTTTCTTCTCAGCAACTCTTTTCATGTATGCAAGACCCAAGAGAATTCACCCTTTTGATTTGAATAAATTGGTTTCAGTTGTGTATACTGTTGTCACCCCAATGCTAAACCCCTTCATTTACTGCCTGAGGAACCAGGAGGTGAAGGGAGCACTAAGGAAAACCTTCTGCAACAAAAGTCCCATACCAGAGGCTTCTGTACCCAACATACACATCACTTCCCATCAGTGAAACAGACAATTCCTTACTAGTGGAAGTTGATGGCTAGAAAATGATATTTAGAAATTTGCTTTTGGAAATTGACTTGTAGGTTAAGTAGATATGAATTAGAATAATGGTCTATGGGTATGGCAAGGGTTAATTTGTTTCTAAAGGGCTGTTTGACAATTTCCTTCAAGACCTACTGTGTCTGAAACCAACAGACAAGCTGACATACACAGGCTGGGTAAATTGAAAATATCTACCACACTGTTCAATAACATGAGATAAGGGACTCTGCCACATTGGCCAAGTCACAGTGACTAGCTGCAAAGCCGTTGGGATTTCTGGTTTTGGTGGAGGGACCGAATTAAGACACTGGTAAATGACCAAATTAAAATGGGCGCATGTGATGGGCTTGTTGGAACAAAGGTATATGCTGACAGGACAAACTGTGGACAGTATGATGACCACAGGAAAAAAAAATCAATCAACAGTACCCAGGAATGAAGAGTCATCAGAGGAGAAAAGGGATACAAAAAGAGGGATTTCAGAGCAGGAAAGGGACCCTGAGGGACCGTGGACAGAGGGCACATGACCAGCCCATCTCACCCACCCCACTGCAGGGCCGTGGGCCTTGGCCCTCAACCTCCAGGCTGCTGACATCTGACATTCAAGAGAGAACCATATGGTAAAGCTCACATAGTGGTCAGACATACCTTTCCGCTGTGACAGCCCTAGGACTGGTAGATATAGAATTGTGGGGGGGGGGGGGGGGTGGGGGGGGGGGGGCTATTTTGTTTTCCTGGCCTGCATTACTCTTATCTGGTATCACTGTACATCAATACAATTTGCCTATTATCAACTAGAAGTAGTCATGGTTGACCTGAGGGTTTGGGTTCACTCGAAACAAGATATCTGGGTCATAAATCCAGTGCCAACAGAAGCAATGCATGGAGGTAAGGGGGAAGGAGCATCATTCCATTTATGGACATGGAGTGAGGGAGATCCTGTGCATTGACAGTAACCAACAAGTTGGAAGACCAAAGACTGGAAGACCTGGAAAGCTGAGCCATGCCCACACTCCTCAGTAAAGAATCTGATATCTATTCATTAGTCAAAAGTTCTTTCTTCTCCATTCCTAGATGCTCACTAAAGGAACTATGAAAAAATACATGGCTGAGATATCCAGTTTCCTTGAAATTTGTGTTGTCTTCAGAGCTCATGCACCAGTCCCAAGCTTGACTGCCTGGCAATTAAAGAGGTTGAGAATTCTCCCAGAAGTGAGAGATACCAGACAATAGAATTGGCAACCTAGGGGACAAGTGCTGAGACTTTTCCAGAAAGATCTGTTCCACATTAACCCTAAAGGACACAATTGATATAAGCATGTTTTGTTTCCTTCCCTCCATTTACTATGGACAGGACTTAGGGGATTTTAGTAATTTGTGCTCATGTACATCTCTTTGAAGTCTTCTGCACTGTATTGAGTGACATTAAATAAATAAAAATTAGTTAGCTGATTCTGGATTCAGTTCCATTAAAAAATTTAAATCAATGCCCAAGATAACATGCTATTTTAATCCGTGCTTTTCCCACATGGAAGGTTTAGGAAAGGCCTAATCTAGATCTCAGATCTAAGCACCTTAAAACTTTGACATTTGGGGTAGCATTTTTATTTTGTTCTGGATGCTTAGGTGATCAGATTTGGTCATCTAAGTCCCAAAAATGTCACTTATACAAAAATTGTCATTTTGTGTGTATATAAAAGACTACATACATACCCAGACTGGCAACATGCTCTGGCATGGAAGAGGCATATTTCCCCCCACATCTCTTCCTCCAAATAGTTGGGTAGCTAGGGCACTCACTGGGGAAGCTGGCAGTCCTGCATTTGAGGACTTATGAACACAGAGGGGTTTGAATCATGGCCTCTCTCATTTCCCAGTGCAGCACTAATGACTATACCACAGGTCAGCCACTACACAGGCCCTGTTCTGACTCTCCTTTGTGATTGCCTAGGAGGGCAGCTTCAAAGAGGGAGGTCTGTAAAAGTGTGGGGTCAGGGAGAAGGCAACAAGCCTGTGGATGTGTAGCTCAGCAAGGTGGCTCTTAGCTGCCAAAGAAAGTAGGCCTGGGCTCTAGCTGAAGCCTTTTGTCTCATTGACAGAAGCTCCCAGCATGGCCCTCCATCCATTCCCCCCCACCATCCCGATGACTGAGACTGGCTCAGCTTCAGAACAAGTACCACAAAAGGACTGATGCAATATCTCACCTGTGTCCAGGTGGTTTGAGTGGTGCCCAGGTTCAAAGGCACTCTCAGTAAGTAATATAAAATAATGACCCCCAGCTTCCTAGGTGAATGCCCCAGCTATGTACAGCTTTCTTCCACTCCTGAAGCTTAATACAATATTTTTGGATTTCAGCTGACAATTTCTGGGCATCTAAGGCCACTATACACCCACAAGGAGCATTCAGATGAGCCTGGGTTGCTACTGGACATGCTTATTCTGTGTGATTATGTAGTCACGCATAGTTGGTCATGTGGACAGGGCCCCAGAATAGAATGCCAGCAATGCATAAGATGATCAAAAATGACACACAGATAACCAACTCTGGATACCTGGATGACTAGGTTTTTTTGCTTCAAAATTTGGTGGCAGATATCACCTTTGGATGGGAGCACTCACTACAAAATTCTGTCCACAGAGACTGTAAAATAATGATACTCAGGGAATCCACTCTTAGGTTGGACGTTGCCAAAGGGTTTAATGAATATAGATACCCAAACGCCAGCAGTTTTGCGCCTAGCTTCATTAGGTGGGTAGGTAAGGGCTCTATGGAAAAGCTACACACTGCACTTCAAGCCATCCAAGCTCAGTATAACCCAAGTAACTTGCATTCAGGTAGTTCTCAACCTGCATATCTTACAGCACATTGCTAAATTAAGGATGAGCTTTCTTAGCTGTTTGTTACAGTTTTTACTTCAAAAAGCCACTGTTCTCCAATCTACTGGAGCTCATCAGCTGTCTGACAAAGCTGATAGTGGAAGCAGTGTCGTTTCAAATAAAAGCCATAGGAAATGGCTGAAGCATCTCAGAAGTCCCAATAAGTTGTTTGCTTTGGCTATATGTACCCCTGGCTAGTTCACAAAATCCTCTTCTCAGAAAAAAACCCAGCATCTACTGTACCATTCCCCTTTGAGAAAGAAATCCATCCCCAGCCACAGCTAGGTGCCCATACAAGTACCCAGAGGCTATGGACATACATTATACCTAAACCGGTTTAAGTGATCAGAAACTGGTTTAAACCTGTAACAGAACAAATGTTCAGTGCGCATAAACCAGTTTGAAAATGGCTGTAACTGATTTAAGATAAATCTGGTTGAATGTAGTATCAGACTTAGTTGATTAGGCTCAAACCGGTTTATGCAATATCTGTCCCAGACCCCTTGCTGGTTTAAGATAAACCCCCAGCATCCTGGCATACTCTCTGGGCTTGGCAGGGCTCTCTGCTCCACAGCAGGACTGGCCCCTCCCCTCTGCTCCCTGGCTGGAGATCAGGCAGAGACTGGCAGGCACACAGGGTCTGCTGGCTTCCCCATGCCCCCCTCCCCCCCACCCCCACTCGCTGCTAAAGCAGAGATTCCTTCCTCCTCTCTGCCAGAGTATGGACCATAGCCAGCATGTGGTACGCTAACTAATACTGTATAATGCAGATAGGGCAGCATCCACTTAGGGCTTTTTTGGAGATAATCAACCGCTGAGATGGTAATGTCCCTGCATTCCTTCATTTGGAAAAAAAGCTGTTTAAGAAGAGCTTGTAATGAGGGAGGTTTTGTTTTCTGATGGGGTGTTAACTGCTGATAAAATGCTCTGTTATCAAGGAGGGGGCACCCTTCCCTAATCGCAGGGTCCTGCTGGGGCCTGGCCATGCCCCCCTCAGCTCAGTCCTGTGCAAGCTAGAACCACCCGGCTTCTAGCCTAAGCCACTGCAGGCACGAGTCTCCATTTCTGGGATGTCTGTCTGGTGACAAAACTGTTTTAACCTAGCCAGGTTAGACTAACCTGTAAAGATTGAATCAATTGAGGCTCAGGCTTTTTGCATGTCTGTCCCCTAGCCAAATAGAATATGCCTCATGACTCCAGATGATGTGTTTGTCCACATCTGAAATGGGCATGCTCTGTTCTAATGGGCCAAGCTGCTTACTTTCCTCCAGGCACAGTGATCAGCATTAAAGGTGCTGAAGGTAAATGATGCAGTTGGCAATTCCTACACACCTCCAATCCCACTCACTCTCCCCCAGGTACCCCTCCACAGCCCTTTCCCCTTAATGCATCTTTTGCAGTAAAAATTTTCCACTGAATGAAGGAATAATCGCACATTTTTGACCAGCTCTGCTCAGCACACACATGAGGATATCTGTTGAGAAGACTAAGTCATGTGAATAGTTAGTTTAAAGGAGTAGACTATACCTTCATGAAGAATAAAGCCCTCAGAAGCACAGAAAATGAGAGTTGGAAGTGACCTCAAGAGGTCGCATCTAGTCCAACCCCTGGTTCAAAACAGGACCAGCCCCAAATAGATCATCCCAGTCAAAATTTTGCCTAACTGGGTTTTGAAAACATCCAAGGATGGAGCTTCTATCACATCTCAGGGTAACCTGTTCCAGTGTTTAACTACCCTCCTGGTGAGAAAATTCTTCCTAATATGTAACCTAAACTTGCCTTGCTGCAACTTGAGACCACTGCTCCTTGTTCTGTCATCTGCCACCACTGACAGCTTCATCCTCTTTTGAACCCCTCTTCAGGTAGTTGAAGGTTGCTATTAAATCCCCTCAATCTTCTCTTCACTAGACTAAATAAGCCCATTTCCCTCAGTCTTTCCTCACAAGTCATGTCCCCCAGCCCCTTCACCATTTTTGTCACCCTCCACTGGATTCTCTCCAATTTGTCCACATCCTTTCTATAGCGGGGGGCCCAAAAGTGAACACAGTACTCCAAGATGTGGCCTCACCAGCGCTGAATAGAGGG